GGCCCCGCATGTGAGGTTCACGCCAGTTCCAGGGTACGCCCCAGCGCCACGGGGCACCCACTCCCTCAGGTGCACACAGGTACAGGGCTGCAGGTACCCGCAGGCCCTTTGCTACTTTCAGGTTGCACGTACTTGCCAGCTGCAACCCCTGAGTAAAGCCACACCACTTCCTGTTCCCCCAGCCCTCCACACTCCACAGAGCCCGGAGCCGTCCAGGGCCAGCCGCTGATGGGAGACTGCCCTCCATGGGGCTTATCCCATTGGCTGCAAACAGGTGTGTCCCTCTGTGGTTGAGGGCTTCCTGGCATTGGGTTTGTGAGTCTCGGTAACAGACACCATCCTGAAGTGGCAGCACATGTCAGAAATGTGCCCTTGGGGCTTGAAGAAGAGGCTCCCCACAAACTGTGGACAACCTTGAGAAGGATGGGAATCCCAGAACACTGCACTGTGCTCATGCGGAACCTTCCTGTGACCAAGAAGCACTTGCGCGGGCAGAACCTGCGGTAACGTCGGGGAAGGTGTGCGTCTGGGCTGCACTCTCTCCACGTGCTCCTGTGATCGACCTGCTGAGCAAGTCATCAGAGACGCTGGGGCATACAGGCACCAATGCAGCACTGGGTTTGGAGGGATGCAGGCGGCACAGCCTGGCTTGCTGCGAGGGGGGCCTTCAGGCAGCTGCTGACCAAGGTCAAGGACGGCAGCTTTCAGGGAAAGAAGGCAGCTGGACCGGTCAGTGACAGCCTGATCAATGGAGAAAAGTTGGGAGCCGGGATTTCGTCTTGCTGCATCCACACTCGATGCTGTGGACACAGCAGTTGAGGGGTCGGTGACGCACTGCGCTGGGCAGGGCTGTCGAAAGCTTTGAAAAGCCAGGCTGCCCTGGAGGATGGGGGGGCCTGGCCCAGGCCACACTGCTTTCAGTGGCACCCTCGTGACAGTGGAGAAGGCCACAGAAGAAGTGCCGAGCGTCAGCTGTGGCGGCGGCGGACGTGTTGGGAGCACCGTTAGCTGTCAAAAGAACGAACGAGACTGTCTCCAAGGCACAGTGGGGGACTTCACCTCACACCCTGGGGCCTGGTGTCGGGAGAGGCCACCCCTGGAAAGGACACCGTGCCTGCTGAGGTAGAAAGAGAGGCAGGCCCTTGCTGAGATGGACGGATGCAGGGGCTGCGTGCTGGGCTCCAACGTAGGAACGGTGGTGGCGACCACCCTGGACCGGCAGTGGCTCCTGCTGTTGGGCCTGGGTTCGCTCCAGGTCCAGAGGACTCGAGGGCACCAGCCGCAGTGGCAGCGAGGAGCACCCATGGCTACGTCGTGGAGGGAGCTGGTGGAAAGCGGGCTGCGGGTCTGTGCCCGGGAGGGAGTCAGGGAGCAAGTCCAGGAGGCCCTTCTCCTCCCCCTGGCCTCTGCTGGGCTGGTGGGTGGGGTGGGTGCAGCAGGGCCAGCTCCCAAAGAGCACCCACTTGCCCCTGGACACCGCTAAGGAAAGAAAGTGTGGGATCCCGGTGCCCTGTGGTGACTCGGTGGCTCTGGAGGGCCGACTAGGACTCCGTGCGTAGGCTGAAGAGCTTCGTCTACGCCCAGCGGCTGGGCTGGCCCACCTTCTCGTAAAGGGAGCCCTGGGGGGGTGGGTCATGGGTGACGAGCTGGACTGCTGAAAGGTCAGCCAAAGGGCCAGCTGTCCACCAGCAGCAGCTGCTGTGTGAGAGAAAGACGTCTTGATGGGGGTGAGTAGCTGTGGCCGACAGGGCTCCTCTGTCACTGTCCCCTTCATTCTGTTTCTCCAGTGAATTCAGCCACATCGTTTCCGGCCCCCACCCCACCCCCAGCCCAGCCCAGCCCTCGCTGCAAGTTCGGGCTAAATTAGCAAATAAGGGGGAGAAGTGGCACCAGGACCCCTCCTTGAAGCTGTTCTCACCCCTGGGGTGTGTGGACTCACCCCCAGTCACACACAGGGCCGGCCGAGCCTCCCACGATCCATACCTGCTGCCCACTCGGCTGAAGTGCCCCCAGTCCAGTTCCTTCCCCACATCAGCACCTGGAGGGGCGGCCAGTGGGCGGGCCACAGAGTGTGGTGGGCGGGGCGGGTCCTGGCCAGGGAGCGACAGGTCTCCAACCAGCACCCCAGCCAGGGCTCGCCAGACACTTTAAGGGGTCTCAGGTCTTGGAACCCCACTCCTCACGGCACTCATGGGTGATCTGTGCGCAGTCCCCCGTCCCCCTCTGGCCGACTGCAGGAGCCTGGGAAGACCCACGGCCACGGGGGCTCTGAGCGCAGGCCGCCCTCTGTGAACCACCCTTCAGGTGGCGTTTTCCCCGAGGCGTTAAGCAGACGCCCTGTCATAATATTTGTGGGAAGCTGCCTCTCGGGATGCTTCCCGCTCCTCCGCAGTGCAAACAAACTGCAGCAGGAAGGCCGGCTTAGCTGAAAGGTCAGGGCCTGGGAAACCAAACAGGGGCTTAGCAGCACCAAGCGTGGTCCCAGTGGTGATCACCAGCTGCTGCCCTGCACACACACCCCGCCCCCCCGCCCCCCCGCAGGAGCTCTGGGTTGGAGGTGACAGCCCACGGAAGACCGGGGGGGAGGGGCAGTGTCAGCAGAGAGCACTCTGACCAGATGCGCCTCGCCTGACACACCATCACCTCTTCCTTCGTAATTAAGGGGGGGGGAAAGTGGTAAATAGTCGTGTACTGAAATGGTTTCTCAAACCACTGGGAACAGGAACATCACAGGCCCCACAACCCCTCCACTGGTCAAATGCCCTAAAGAAATAGAGAAGGAAGCAGGAGCAGACCTGTGCTTACCCGTGCATGGGGCAGCAAGGGCAAGAAGCTGGGACCAGGCTAAAAAGTCCTTGGTGGAAGAATTCGGCCATCAGCGTTGCAGACATGCAGTGGAATACTACACATCACTGAAGAAGGGCGGCAGAGAAGCCGCGGAGCACCTCCAACCCCTGCAGGGGGATTGGGGAGCATTGCATCACAAGAAGCCAAGTGTCTCGGGAGACCACTGTTACCAAAGACAGGAATCAAGAAAAGCTTTTCATGGCCAAAGAAGTGGGCTTTGCTGGTTGGGAGAGGGGACGGGAAGAGGGGAGGGTGGGTAGGGGCTATCTTTGGGGGAGGAGACCATAATGTCTACAAAAGGAAGAAGACAAAAACAGGGGCAGGTGTGGCAGGACTAGCTCTCGGGAGGTTTGATAAGTAGAGTTATTCGGTACAAGCATACCCGGGGCTCACTCACACTAAAGGGGAAACAAAAAAAGGCAAGCCCCCCTCACAGGCTCAGCCTGCTCTTCAACCAAGGAGCCAGGCACTCGGCTGCTAACTGAAGGTTGGCAGTTCAAACCCACCAGCCACTCCTCGGGGGAAAGACGAGGCTGTCTGTTCCCACAAAGATGTACAGCCTTGGAAGCACTCAGGGGCACCGACTGGCTGGCAGAGCGTTGGTTTGGGCAGAGGGTTACTGCTCCTATCCCTTTTCCAAATTACCCATCACCCTTCACAGAAGCTCAGTGCCCGGGGCAGCGAGCCCCAGAGTGCACCCCACATGCCCTCCCCCCCCTCCTCCAGAGTGCACCCCACATGCCCTCCCCTCCTCCCATGTTTTGACCCAAGTCCGAAAACATGCCAATACACCCAGGCCTGGGGGCAAGCCCCTTGGAAACTGGCAGGTCCCCCCCCCACCCATCCTTGGTGGGGGACAGAGGCTGACAGCCCCGGCCTCTCCTGACCTCAGACATGTGGCGCTGCCCCCTGTCGCCCAGTTTGGGAGACTGAGAGGAAGGAAGGGGCTCCAGGAAGCACTGTAAGGGATCTCAGGGTGCCCACGGCAGCAAGCTTGTGTCCAAGGCTCCCCTCCCCCAACCCGACCCGTGCTCTGGGGCCCTGGGGTGGGGGCAGTGACAAGGTGCTGTTCTCCGCGGACTCACCTGCCCGCAGGGACAATTGGAGCAGTCCCTTCAACGGACACCCGCGGCTGTGGGCCTCCTCAGGGCAGCTGGCCACCAGGATGACCGTGTGGGATGCGGTGAGCTCTGGGAGTCTACTTCCTGCTTCCTCCTGAGCCTTGGAAATGTCTCTGGCACACGATGGGGGGTTCCAGGGAGGGAGGGGCATGGCTAGCCAGAGGTGTGTCCCCCAAACAACCCAGAGGGACCATGATGGAGACCGTGCATAGACCAGTAGGGTTCCCTGGGAGGGAAAGTTGGGTAGACCCAGTCCCCCCTCACTCTCTCCACTACTCTCTCTAGGACCCCATGTGGCTGTCACCGCAGG